TTTTTTTTTTTTTTTTTTTTGAGATTTTAAAAATATTGTTGTATTTAGTTTATATTTTCTTAAAAGTTTGGAATAGTATTTTAAGTTTTTAAAAAGTTTTATAGTCATTACATATTCATTTCATCTACCACAAGATCTGTTTGACTCTGAACACTGATTGAGACTTTACACATCAATTACATATAGAAATCCTACTATTAAATCTCACACTCAAACTTGAAATTTCAAGGTTCTCAGTAAAATTTTAAAAATATACGATTTTAAGATGTTATTTAAAATTATAAATAAAAAATATAATAAAACGATATTAGAAAGAAATATTAAACTAGAAAATATTGTCTCAATAAAAGGATTGTTGAATGCTCACTACTACAAGAAACAACGTGTTTGGTGATCCTTATCTTTTTATTTAATGAAAAAATAATTTATGGTACTGTATTCAAAATTTTAGCAATTTTCATATATATATAAAGGTTTGATTATTCCGTTCAAAAAAGATCTATTTACTATTTTGAGAAATTAATTTAACAATTTATGGTATATTTCATATTATCACTTATGAAAATTGCAGCTCGTTATTTAAAGAAATAATTAAGCCATATAAATATTTATTTTTAAGATACCTTAATTACTCAAATTAATTTAACAATTTATGGTATATTTTAAATAATCACTTATGATAAATTAATTTTCAAGATATCTTAATTACTCAAATCATGTGAATTGACTGATTGACCCAAATATAGAAATTTCGGCTGCAATATCAATTATGTGTCTTGGTAAAAACAAATCCAACTAAATTGTATAATTTATTGTTTACTAAGTGTTTTATATTTTTCGTGTAATTCTTTTGTGAAATGCATTTTTAACTTAATTGTGTAAATTCGATTTATTTATTCAATCTGTAATTAATTTTTACAATCATGGAAATATCACAACTGTAATTAATCATGCAGTTTGCAAAAACTGTTTTAAAAAATATGTGTTAATGATAATTTTTATTTATATACTATTTAACAAATGTTATTCATATTTGTGTATTTAATTTCTCACATCGTGAATAATAGGAAAATAATTAGACAATAAAAATTTACAATTTTAAGATACCCTAATTACACAGACCGTGTAAGTTTGGTTATTTTATTCAATTATAATTTCTTGTAATATCTAAAATAATTGTATTAATGGCAGTTTCTATTTTAATTATTTTTTAATAACTATTTTTGGGTCTTTTTTATTTTTATGTATAACAATCGTGAGTCTTGATTTTATTTTGTACGTTGGGTAATTAATTTCGGGGTAATTGTTATTTTAGTACCTGTACTATGGGCTAATTGTGATTTTGGTACCTATCCTTTATTTATTGCGAAAATACAACCCAACATTTACGTTTTTTGCGAATTTGGTACCTATTCTTTATTAATGGCTAAAATACAACTCAACCTTTACATTTTTTGCGAATTTAGTACCTAATAATTTTTTTGTACCTAATAATACAAATAAAATATCTTTATTTTGGTTTTTTTGATGTAAATCATAAAATTGTTATTTGTATTATAATGAATGATACAAATAAAATGAACTGCATTTTCAATATTATTAAAATTACATTTAGAGATTCTGTAAAAAACCATATATAATTATTAATAACCATATTTAAATTGAATGGGCATATTTAAATATCAATGAAATGCAACCATGATTTAAAAAATCATAGTATCTCCTATGAAAATTCAAAAGAAAAAATATTTCTCTTTTTTGTATTTACCTTAACAACAAAATTCCTGAAGAAATGAAGATACATACAATTTTTTTAATATTAGGTAAATGAACTGCATTTTCAATATTATTAAAATTACATTTGGAGATTCTGTAAAAAACCATATATAATTATTAAAAAAAATATTTTAAAAAAGTATTACTTTTCAAATAAATTATAAAAGAAAAAAAATTATTTTATATCATTTTAACAAAATTTAATTTGATTTAATGTAATTTTATTTTATTTATATATATTTTTACTTGTTGATTTTTATTTCTTACACGTTATTTTTATTAAAAGTACATATATTTTAATTTTTTAATTTATTAAAAATTACTTTAAATCATTTATTGCCTTTCACTATATTTTTATTTTATAATATTTTATTATAATTTATCTTATTTTTATTTTTAATTTTATGATTTATATAATATTTTATTTGTATCATTCATTGTAATACAAATAATAATTTTATGATTTACATCAAAAAATGAAAATAAAGATAATATTATTAGGTACAGAAAAATTATTAGGTACTAAATTCGCAAAAAACGTAAAGGTTGGGTTGTATTTTAGCCATTAATAAAGAATAGGTACCAAATTCGCAAAAAACGTAAAGGTTGGGTTGTATTTTCGCAATAAATAAAGGATAGGTACCAAAATCACAATTAGCCCATAGTACAGGTACTAAAATAAAAATTACCCTTAAACTGAATATTATTTTTTATATTTTATCGATAATGTATGAAATCGAATTATGGGTATACTATATACTGATCCAATATACCCGCTTATGGTAATAAATGGTATCTCAATATTTACTTATTTTTTGTTTCATATTGCTAAGCATTTTACTATTAATGAAAAAAAAATCTGGATAATACTATGATAGATTCTTCTTTGTAAATATGTGTGGAACATATCAAATAATTTGGGGTGCGTGTGTAAAGGTTTGTTTTTATTTAAATCACATTATAGTCAAATCAATTTTCTGAATAAAAAATTTAAAATGACATCTATTTTTGAAATGAATATAATGTAACTTATTATCAGTTACTTGCACCGAATGGGCCGTGTACTAATTTTAAATAGACATGTTTTATATAATTTTGCACAATTTAAATTTCATATAACATTTTCAACAAATTAATATAGGTAAATTGTACTACATATTGATTCCATAATTCTAATTTATAAATATTACTTAATAAGCATGTACAATTTATAAATACTAGTATACGACCCTGTGCATTTGCACAAATGTAAATAAAGTATTGTGAGTTATTTGTATGCATATAATGATTAATTATTTTTCTTTCACTTCTTTGCATGCCAAATTTACGAATAAAGAAGTTGGAATATTTACTTTTTTTTTTAAAAAAAAAATTACGTTTATCTGATTGGATGTAATGTATATTTTGGTACGTCTTTTTTTTGAATTATTTATCATTTATTTAGAAATTTCAAATACGTTTTTAATTTTCAAAAAAATATTAATTTAAATGTAACCACAATAATAACATCTAATCACATTGTACGATCAACATATTATATGGTCAGCTGTCATTAATAAAAAGCTTAAAATGATTTTTGTAATTTTGAAGTGATTAGTATTGATTATTTAATAATTAAATGAAATATTAAATACATAAAAAAGTAACGGTTTTTGGAGGGAAAAGTATTAAATTGCCACATAGGTAAAATTAATTAGGTTTTATTAAATGCTATTGGCTAGTAATTATATATATATATAGATTAATGAATATTTCTTACCCGTGCATCAGATTCGTGCTACTGGCATAGGCTAAACATATGAATTCTACATACTTGCTATATATATTATTGATTCAAATAATTTGTACAAACAATTAGATACGAACAAAATTTACAAAAAATTATATCCTGCTCTATTTATTATCATTTGAGCACACATTGTACATATAATTAGATATGCAAACTAACATGAATACAATGTGATATACGAATGATTGAAATGGGCTTTTATCATATACGAATGATTGAAATATAATCTATAGACTAGTATGGTATTTGATAATATAAACATGCATTTTGTTATAAAAGACAAAACAAGTATGAAGAGTCTATTTGTGCGACAAGTCGAGCCATAACCAGATTCAACCTCGAATTTTGCCTTTCAGATCGCGAAAAAAGATAGCAACTTGCAAAACTACAAAGGCCTTTGTATCTATACGCTAAAAAACGAAATCCAAATGCATGATAGTTTCTTATTACCAGTGTATACATCCACCCACGAACAACACAATATGTTCGTGAATTCAGAGTGGAGTCGAGAGATTAACGAAAGCTGGATTTAAGTGTGTGTCATTACATACATGTGCAGAAGTCGATATAATCAGAAGTTATTTTGAGAGCAGCAAGTTCGGAAAACTTCGCCGCGCATAACATCAATAGGCATGTGCTCGTGAGTGTACCTCTCGGGACCAAAATACATTCCCGTTTTCTCCAAAAGATTAAGGCCTTCTTCTCTACCGAACCTTGAACTGTAGAGTTTCAGGTACTCAATGTCCTGTATGAGTATCACAGATTACGATTAGTCTCGTAAAGTACACTTCCTTTTTTTTTTTTTTTGATGGAAAAGAGAAAAACACAAGTTTAACCACGATTACGAAAATTCCAGCATTCTTCAAAATTTTAATCAACCCCTTAAAAGTGACCGGAAATTTAACTCTTTAAAATGCAATTTGTAGAGAAGATACAAAAGTCGATGCGATTATATGTATTTGTGACAGATAACTGCATTTTTTTCTTTATTTTCATTAATAAGCTGAACCCCAGAGCAGTTTTCTGTAATTAACCCTGTCGTAACAAAGATTTGGGTACGGTTGTACAGATGCATTATACATATACCACTCTTACTATATCTGTTCATCGTCAAATATAACAATATAAGTGGTTATAAGGTTCACCAAATTGAAAGAGTTTGATAAAGCAAATTTAGACAGATTGCCATGTGCCAGTTATAAAATATAAACGACGACTCAGAAAGGCATGCATGCAGTTCACAAACCTCATATTTTCATTCAAGTACAAAAATTCAAGATGAAAGCTATAAAACACAGAAGAAAAAAAAAA